CTGATATTCTTTCAAATAGGAACATAAATTCTAAGGAAGTAATCCATATCATTGTTTTTCTCATAATTTCATTCTTAGTACTATAACACTACATTCACTAGTACAGTTTTAGGGAGAGGGGAAAAGAAGGAATTAGAGTTTACAGTATACCATTCTGTTCACATCTAGACCTGTCCCCTGATATTCTTTGGAGAAAACCAGATTAAGGAACTCATTTGTAGCATCTGGTTACTTTGGAAGCATCTAAAAAACCCAGATAGTAGATTCTCCTGAATCTTAAAAGGGACTCAAATGAACCCTTTTTAAATTGCATAAGCAATTAGGATAAAGAAATTTGAAACATGGAAATTTCATATTTCCTGTTTCTTTTCACATTCATGAGACACCTTCATAAAATGACATTTATAAAATATCTTCATGTGAAAGCATTATTATTCTAGTTCCATTGATCCAGGTATCCAATATAGGATTTAGAAACATACAAATAAGAATTTATTACAAAGTTGACATGGGGGAAAATCGTCTTTTTTCCATAAATTAAGTAGTTATTTCTGCCCTTGATCAGACTGCAAATTTAATGGAATGTAGTTAGCCTTTTCACAGTTTTAAAAGGAATTCTTGTTTGGATCCCCATATCAGCCAGCTGCCAAAAAAAAAAAAAAAGGAATTATTCGAGTGCTGTTTGAAGAACGGTATCTCTGTCTCTCATCACACTTAGTATTATTTCTATGAGGGTACTTCAGAAAGTTCATGGAAAGATTCATGTTATTGTTCAGTTCTCTTTTTCCACAAACTTTTTTAAGTACCTTTATATTATACTAGTTCAGCATGTATGATGGTATGTAATCAAGGAACTTATGAAACTGTGTTGCATTATACATAAAAGCTTTTACATAAAGCTTTCTGTGTATTTATATATAAATTATTATTGTACTCATTTAAATTATACATAAAAGCTTTGTGGCATTATCACTGCTGGCAATAAAGTGGGGTGCAGTGTGCATCATGTGGCTTTTATCAGCATTAAGTACATTAGAATTTTTTTATTGTTCTTTTGTGAGTAGCAGGGTTGTTTTTTTTTTTTCCTTTTTTGTCCTTTTTCGTGACCGGCAACGGATCGCAACCCTCGGTGTTGTGCCCGCACCTCGCTCAGCCAGTGAG